GAGATGAAAGTATGGTTTGCAAGCAACTAGAATCACCAACCATGGCATGATCTCACCCTTGGGTATTTATGGAAGTGAAAGGAAAGATCTAGAACATATGAGAAGCTTCCAAGGAAGTTCTAGAACTTCTCACGTAATGAGAAATTCAAAAATACTATTTTTAGTAAATCTCATAAAACTCATGATAAGTCTTCAAAATACCCTTATATGAGATATACATGTGAGAACAAGGCATTTTATGCAAAATTAAGGCTTTGGCAAACAATTTCTCATGGTACCTTAAAGTGCAAGAAACAAAATTACAAAGGAAGTCCAATTTTTAAGCCTAAACTCAAAAATGTGGATAAACCATTGTTTCCAAAATATTGATTCCAATCAAAATCATCTATCATATGCCCCATTTTGGATTTGTAGATCTCTCAAACCAAAATCCAATTTCAACTTTTTTAACTTATAAGCCTTTTTCAAGTCATTTTGACCATTTTAAAATATCCATGCTCCATGCATTTTCAAACTCTCACAACATCTTATCTAGCCTTAAAATGACATTTTGAGCAACTTTGATGTTGGGAAGTTTTCCATTTGAAGCTTCTTTGTAGGAGTTTTGGGCATTGGCTAAAAAATGACCTGTAATTCCAAATTACCAAAATACCCCTGTCTTGCACAAGCCATAAGTAGAGTTCCCTAAATCATATGAAGGCATACCATACCTTTTTGGAAAGGGGAGACAATGAGGAACAACTCTTATGCTTGTCCAAAGTCCATTTGAATTATCCTTGAGGGCCAAAAGTTTGTCAGAAGACAGTCAACTTTCACAGACAAATTTCAGTATCATCTGGTGACCCCTAACTTGCAAGAGCCATAACTTGAGTTCTAGAAATCTCCTTGATGTCTTCCACCACTCAAATTAAAGGTCTTGAGATCCTCTACAAGTTTCTTGTTGGCCAAGGATCCATTTGAAGCTTGCATTTTGACTTATATTGCTTGGACGTTTGACCTAAACCAGGGAATTTTACCTAGAAACCCTAATTTAGAACCTCCTCTTCTCCTTGATTTCTCTTGATTTCTTCTTAGCATAACAACATATCCTTATTCTTCATGTCAAATTATGAACCCCACATCTCTCCAATAGTCCTTAATGCCTTTCAATCAGTCAATTGACCTAGAGTTGACCCAGGGTTGACCCAGATGAAACCCTAGTTGACTGTCTTCAACTGTAATTCTTGTGACTTCACCAATGACTTTTCTCCTTCTCCAAATGACTTTCTAAGTCCTCCAAGATGTATGGATACTCCCCATGCTCAGCCCACAGCTCACCATTTCTTTGTTGATCCTCAGACACCCTCAGTTAGGAGATAGATGAACTGCTTGATCCATTGACTTGATAGCTTCCAAATTCTTTTCTGATGACTTGAATGAGGTTGAATCAGGATAATAACCTCTTGATAGGCCTCTAGAGATGAGAATAATGATTGGTCCCCTGTTAGCTGACTTGCTATGCTTATGCTATGCAGATGAGTAACCTATGTACATGGCCCTATATGCAAATGCTAATGCAATTGAAACATAAACCAAGTGAATAAGGTTGGGCAAATTTTTAGGGTGCAACAGCATCTTGCTAGTATAGGTAGTATCAATCAATCCTTATAATTTTTCCTTCAACCATACATTCTCATACCTACACAGCCTCAAGACATTTCTTATTCCGATGTGAATTCAGTTTTTTCCTAGAAGATGTCAAGAGTCGCTTATTTTCATGCCTTGTGCATTAGCGAGCACTTTTCTCCCTCGTCGGCCTCCAGTTTTACATTCCCACCATCTTCCACTTGGTTCGTCCCCGGACCACATCATACTTGGAGATGTCTGCTCTAATACCATTTTGTAACACCTCAAACTGCTTTCAAGATAACCGACTGACCTTACAAACTAACACAGGTCTTTTCAGCATGTTTTATCCTCACTCACACGCTTTTCGAAAAACTTCCCAGAAGATCACTCATTTAAATACTACTCCAAGTCAAGCACGTTTAACTATGAAGCTCTTATTTATTAAGCTACTAAAAAGAATATGCATCTTATTGGTATAGCTAGTACCAATCAATTATTATAAGTTTTTTTCATCCATGCCGACTCATACCCGCACAACCTCAGGATTCCTCTCATTCTGATGTGAATTCGGTTTTTGCTTAGAAGTTACCAAGAACCGCTCATTGACCCGCTCTTTGTATCCCATTTCTTTCCTTTTACTTTTGGTACAACAAGAATGTATAGGAAAAAATAACAGCTCCAGAAGTATTTAGTGTAAACTAACAAAAACTTAGAGTCATGAGCATCCAACATTCCTATGTTCCTCTCTATAATGAAATATGTGACAAATTTTTCTCCAAGATTTGCATAAGCAGTTAGTTTGTAGATTGTTAGATTTCCAAGAAGTTTTCCATTGGATTCTAATAGAACTTTATCAAAACATTCAAGGAAACTAAATGTGATAAAAGTCATGCACTCAATGATAATGATACAATATATGCATCTTAGTTGGGTGCACCTTATAAGAATTTGACAGTATGATATGTTACCATGAGTAAACGAACACAACCTTAAGCAATGTGAGCATTTCAAAGAAACCATAATTATAATTTCTTTGTCATCCCACAAAAGGGTTTCTCCAATAACCATCTTATCAGTAACTACTGTGTATAAAATCAGTTTCAATTGGCTATCACATTTGATGAGATCCAACAAGGTTTCTTCACCTCTTTTAATTTAAAAATACACACTAATTGTTCTATTTGTAATTATACTCAAATTCCTTTCATGCCAAAATTTTGCAATTGAAGAAATTGAAATTTGGTGATATGGAAAAATAAGGTGAAAATCCAATATGGAGGAATTGAAACTCTTGATGAAATAGGGACTAAGTAAGTTCCAGACAATTCTAAATTCAGTGAAGTTGTATTGCAACCTTTCAAGTAAAGGAGAACTCTCAATTAGAGTAAAAAAAATTCCAATTCTTGAAAGAATGTAGTGTTCACACAAATGGGTGTCAAAGGCATTTTAACAAACAACTTGTGGGCAAAAGCTAAAAATAGAGTGTTGGAAGATCTATTTAGTTCACTTTTTCCATAATCAAGAATATGAGCAACACTAAGAATGAGAATCTTAGAATGACAAGAAGTCAGTAGATTTAACAATACATTAGCAGCCATGGATTCATCTATAGTTGAATCTTTCCATAATTTTGTCAATATTTGAGGATCAAATGAGATTCCATAATTAAGGATGGTAAGTGTTCTGGATTGGGCCAGAACCTGCCCATCAGTCGGGCAGGCCCAACCCAACACTATGTTGGAAAGGCCCAATCCTCCCATATCGGGCACGAGCCACATATGTCGGGCAGACAACTCCTTTGGCGGGCAGAATCACACGTTTTCTCCACGTGCTCCCCCACACAGGGACACGTCATCAGACAACTATCCACCTCCGAAAGAGTTTGTCAACCCACCTTCCGAAGATCACGAGGCAGTTGATCTAGGGCGAAGACCACGTGTTGGTCTTCACTACGCCACGTAAGCCCTAGCAGTTACTTGGGTTGGATCTGGCAGTCTGGCCCAATGCAAGTAACCGCTGGCCCTGCGATGGGGTCTCTCTATAAATACCCTCTTTTACTAGAGGATCAGGTATTCTATTCTCTACATCTATTTCTCTGTAGTTGCTCTTCCACTCTGATCCCTTACTTACTTAAGCATCGAAGTGCCTTGCAGGTACACCTACCTCTGGTGGAAGGTACAATTCAACGACGTGTGGCAGGCCATTGATCCTTTCTGATCAGGTAAGATCAGTAAGCAATTGATTTATAACTGAGATGTTTAGTGAAGGTTGTTGACAATCAAAAAATATGTTTACCTTGGAAGGAGGTTTGAAGTTGTTGAAATGAAATGGTTTTGAATCTGGAGGTTTCGCTATAGTCTTCGAGAAGCATGAATCTGGAGGTTTTGGTGGAATCACAAAGTCGATATTATACAGATACACATTTCCTTTGAAGGGAGTCTTGGCCATGAGCATTGATGAAGAATCAAAGAATGATGTGAGTTGAGTTGTATGATCGGAACTTGACGGTGTCTCCATTAATGAAGGTTTTGAGAGTGTGGTTTGTGTAATGACTCATTTGTGAGATTGCTAAAGTCAGAAGAAACATTGTTTGAACCATTTGAGATGAAAGGAAATCCATCTTTTGGTTGTTCTGGTTGTCTTCCATACAGATCTGATGATTTGAGAGAGTAACAAAATTTTTGAATCATTTCTTTCAACTCTTCTCTATATTCATTTTCGATTTTCTGAGTTTCAATCAAATATTGTTTTAGAGTTTTTAGTTGTGAATAGAAATTTTGAGATTGAGGTTGGTAGTTATGGTAACTTAATATTTATGGAAGGTGGAGGATGATTGTTGAGGTGAAGTAGAAATTATGTGTTGTTGTTATTATGGAATGTATGGAGTGTAGGAATGATAATATGGATAGGCCATAGAAGGAAGGATTGAAGTTCAAAATGAAAGCACTAATTGTTAGGATGCTTAATTAAGAACTCTAATAAGACATGATAAGAACCCTAAAAATTAATAAAGATAAAAAATAATATCATATAACTTTTGATTTCATTGATACTCTAAAATGTGTCAAGGACACTACATATATAATGTTCATAATAAATAAAAAATTAAAAACCTAAATACAACAATAATCCAATAACAATACTAATACCTAATAATATAAATTCTAAATTATATTTTTCCTCCTCTATAAGAAATGCTTTAAATTTCAGAAAAGAAAATTCATGAATAATTAGTAGTGTATTATGTAGCAATGTCATATTGATATATCAAAATGGTGATTGCAGAAATTGTAAAGTAAAAGAAGTTTTTCAATAATTTCTAACCAATGGGACTCTCTCTATTTACAAAATGGAACTCTCTCACTCTCTCTATTTACCAATTTTATACAAAACTACATACGAGGTAACATCCACCCAACAGTCCATCCTAAAAGTAATCCAGCTCCAACAAGACTCAATCCTAAAGCAAATGCAACATCATATGTTGTTGATACATCACTTTTCAACTTGTCTATTTTTTCATGTTTCTCATCAACAATTTCTCCCTTTCTCACCAATGGTTTCTTACCTACAAACGAAGCGTCGTGGAAGAGACTCGATACCGATGTATGCTTATTCTGTATCCCAGTGCTTAGGCCTTCCAAATGTAACAGTCTACACCATTGCTTGTATGCAAAAAGATGTGAAGCTTGTATATAAAAGAGTGCAACAATGTGCTCTTTCTCCGCGTAAGCCTGTTTGGCTAACTCCTCCGCTTCCCTCGCGCGTGTTTGTGAACAACGCAACGCTTCCATCAATCGAGCTTTGCTGTGGTCTCCCTCAAAATTTTCCTCTGTCTCACTCTCATGAACAGAACTATAACTATAACAAAAATTGAATATCTTAAGCAAATCAACATGTTAATCTTAATCACTTAGTAAAACACTGTAAACGAAAAAACCTTGAGAATTTGTCAAAAGAAATATAGAAATGTCCTTGATTGGATGAACGTTCCATCTCTCTATGCATCAATCCTGAATCCAAATTTTCCTTTGCCTTTCGAGGAGGAGGTGGAAGATCACAATTCTCAACATGATTTAGCAATTTCTGTGAAACCAAGTACGCTAATTCATCTATATCTGTAGTTTTCCACCATGGTTGGACGCATGAAGACTTACGAGAAGTGAATTTGGAAGCATCTTCTGTTGATGCCATCATCACATACATACCTGTTATGCTTCTTCTCATAACATGTAATCTGTCCAAAACATAAATGGACATGAAAGAATACTCATAAAAAGATTATTACGATCCACAAGACCAACATTAATGTTAATCATCGAACAAAACATGGTTACGTAGTTTAGGATTTTGTTCCGACACAGAAAAGTAAAACATCTATATCAATGCGATGAATGACTCACCAGAAAACTGAAACATTGCGATTGAATGGAAGAGGATGATAATTAAGAAAAGAAGAAGAGGGTGGTGGTTACTAAATATGAGAGTGTTATGGTTTTTGTGAATGTTAACGTTGTTGTTTAGTTATCATTTCTATGTTGTCGGTTTTCTCAAGCAGAAATAACTGAAGTGGTGGGATGTGACCACATGTATTACGGTGTTGTTTCTTTCTTTATAAGTTTTCACTTCCGTTCCGTTCTCTCTTTGTCGTAGTGGGGTCCACTGAAAGAAAGAAAAAAAAGAATCTATGAACAATCTTAGTCATGACACGTGTCATTTTTAATTCCATTTTTAACAGTGACACGTGTCAATATTGAGCTATTTTAGTGAATATGAACTATTTTAGAGTGAATTGCATTTCATTCATATGTTTGGCTATAGGTCGAGTCAAATTTTATAGTCTGTGTGCTTGCCTAACCCATTGTTTTCTTTTTGGGGGGGTATAAAGTGTGCTTGCCCTGCCCATAGTTTTATTGTGGTTGTTGTAGTTGATTGTCATAAGTCAATTGTTACAATGGTGCATGTAATAAAGTTATGGAACTTAATTACGATCTAAGTTTATTTCATATTTTGGTCGGTGACAAGAGGGAGAAAAAACGAATATTCAAGACTATATCCAAAGAGTTTATATATAAAAGACATATTTTTGTTAAAGTAGCTCAAGTGATAAATATTCATTTTTTTAAAAAAATTGAGTTATTAAATTTCTACGCCAAAAAAAAAAAAGAGTACATGTTTTGTTTGTACCAATATCCGATGATTTTTAATTTTAGTTCTGCTAGAATCTTGAATGAAAATAAATCTGAACAATATCTGTGGCTGACGCAGCGTCGAGCACAGTCCAACACAGTTCTGCATCAAGAACGGCTCAGAGTGTTAGTCCATCTCGTTAGAGGCAGTGAAGAACACGTTCTCCACGTGCCCCTCACCCAAAAACACGTCACCAACTGAACTCATGTCCCTCGTGGAGACGTTTGACCCTTCGTAACGGATAAGTTCATCCACTATTCGGGGAGTGCGGAGTGGTTGATCCAGGACGATGAGCACGAGCTGTTTATCCCTACTTTCACGTGGAAGTCCTGGTAGTCATCTGTTGTGGGCCTAAACACTCAGCCCACAGCGGAGACCATTGGCTAAGCGTTGGGGGCTCATTATAAAAACCCTCATCTCTGGATTCTATTTTTCATCCTTTCTTACTTACATCTTCACGCGAACTAACTTAAGCATCGGAGTGCCTGCAGGTATACCCCTCTTCGTCGCCCTTCAAGACCGCGGACGTGTTGTTGGTCATACACTTATTCTGATCAGCTACTCGAATCAGTGGTACCGTTTGTAGGAAATCTGTTTCCCCATCTTTACTTCCCTTGAAACCAAAGATCAAAACAAAAAATCTCAGAAACCAATCAAGGTCGGTCATCGCGACGACAACAACGGCAGTCACGAACTGTCCTCTCTCCCGTCCATGACGCCGACAACAATAATGGTATGCCGCTTTTGGAGGAAAGCACCCCCGCCGAGGAGAGACGGGTGCACCATCTCCCCCTCCTTCGACGACGCGGCCGACCACGATGTCCAATACGTCGAAACTCGCAGAGTCCAGAAAGCTCTGGAGAAGACTCCGGAGATATTTCAATTGAATCTGGTGCCACCCAATTCCGACCCGACCATGGCGACCCTGTTCGTAGCGCTTAACCAGATCAATGTGTTGATCTACCAACAGAATAAAAGGATCGGAGCTTTGGAGAAGGATCGTCGCTCACGCTCTTCCCCATGGAGACATCGACGATATGAATCTCGAAGCCCGTCACCGCGACGACTAGGCCTTCGCCTGCAGTTGGAGAGGCCATATCCCTTGAAGCGTAAATCGAAGGGTTGGTCAAAGGACTCGCTGCCACGGGGCAACCCTCGGCGAGAGTAGTACGACCATTATCTCCCGCGCTCATTGATTTGGAGTGACGAAGATGACCTTCGTGGTCTGTTATCTTGAGAAATCATGGGCATTCCCCTTCCCGTCAGACTGGAAAAACCACCGAACCTAGGAACATACAATGGAACAACAAATCCCGACGAGCACATCAAAAAAATTGATGCTCTGCTCGATTATCGCGTTGTCTGAGGCGCCATCAAATGCAGATTCTTCACCACTTTGAGGAAGGGTGCCACGATATGGTACAAGAGCCTCGCTAACGAATCTATCACTTCCTAGATAGACCATGGGAAACAGTTTTCGAGGCACTTCACCGCTTCTCTTCGCCATCTAAATTTCGAGGTGACGCTCGAAGGAATCACGTAAGGGAAAGATGAATCCCTCCGAGCATACATTGAGAGGTTCAATCTGGAAGTTGTCCAGGTCTCCACGACCAATGACATAAAGAAGTATTTGCTCAAGCGGGGAATGCGCCCACGAAGCGACTTCGCCAAAGTCTTCGGCATTGAAGCACCTGCATCATTGGATTCCCTCCTCCTCAAGGCCCAGGCATATATTTAGTATGAAGAGAAAGAAGCTGCCAACAACGCTCGAGACTTGCAGAATCAAGAAAGCGCCAGAGTTTCGAGGCATGATGACCACCTAGCGCCCCGCCGAGGAGGGGGGAATAGAAAAGAAGATAAGCCACACGAGTCTTGGGAGTACAAAGGACCTGCAGACTGGTTTTCCGAATACATGTCGTAGACCGCTACTCGCGAGCGTATACTGTCTGAGTGCGCGAACTCGAAATTCTGCCAGGGGGAGTCGTTTTCCTAGGAAAACACCTTCTAAGCCTACCGCAAACAAGTCTAAGTACTTCCTGATAACATGAAAATATATCGCATATTTCGACCCGACTCACACGCTATTTAGTGTCTTTTATCATGTTTTCGTAGTATTATGTTGTATTATGTTTGTGTTCAGGTAAGTAGCCAAATGATAGTCGTTCATGAAGAAATGAAAAAACAGATGAAAAAAGGAGATTTTGGTGTAAATTGTACACATGGCGTCCCACATTGCGTTGGCCATGGAGGTAGCCATGATCTGGACCATTTCCCCCACACTAATGTACCCTTGCCTGAGGTCCTGCATAAAAAGAGAAAATTAGAGGACTATGAAACTAGGGAAATTACTAGTGTTAAGAGGGGAAGGTTAACCTTCGAATTGGTGGATGAAAAAAGTACACCAAAAACTGAAAAGCTAATACTCAAGATAGAGCCAGAACCACCACCACAAGTTCTAAAGAATGAACCACCACACAGAAAGAAGAAAAGAAAAGGTGAGGGATATGTGAGATAGCTTGATAAGTGGCCCTGGAAATCGAAGAATATTAAAAGTTTGATCGAGGAGTCATTCTCGAAAGAACCATCATGAGTACTTACACTCCTGGGCCGTCGAGCTAACGACGTAAAAACAAGCGCAACATGGGAGGAAACCTACGAGTTTTTAATTTAGTGTTTTCCTTTTATTCTTTGAATTTACAAAAAATAAATAAATGCATCGCTTGTTACATCTCAGCTACATCTAGGCGAAAATTCTCTAGATGACGTCTTGGACATGACCAGGTGCCCACGGATATTCCTGTGAATGTCGCTGCTGGTGATGACACCGATGATTAGTTTGATATGAGAGAGCATGACTCTCTCGTCCATAACTCACCTCATCCTCGTTCTTCACATGGTTATGATCCACCTGCACACACCGCACCGTATTTTTCTAACACTTTTGCAGGTACTTCCTCTAGAAGCGGGCAATATGATGAGCTGCTTCAAGAATTATGCAGTCGAAGATCTCGTGATGATTAACATGATAGCCTATTTTACACCACATATTAGTAACAAAAAGAGATGAAAGTGTCTCAAGCTCAAAACTAACATCCATATGCAAGTGATGCGAGAAACCCAAGCAAACATGTGCACAATGCAAGAGCAGTTTCAACAAATGAAAGTATCTCAAAATGTCCGCCGCCAAAGTAGAAGTGGTCAGTGAAGACAAGGACAACAAGGGAAGGATCATAGTAGATTTGGTTGTGGTGGCTCGCCGTAGAATTCATACAAGTTCCGTCTTTTCTTTTTCAATCTTTTATCAAAACATTGAGGACAATGTTTGGTTTAAGTGTGGGGGGAGGAATTTTTCCACTTTCATTTATTACTTTCTAGGTAGATTTATTGTCTTCTAGTTTATTTCGTGTTTTTAGGATTTTTCCTGTTTTTCGTATTTTGTTGAGTCATCGCGTGTGTTGTCGAGTCTTTATGTGTGGTTTTCAGTTGTTTATTGAATTTCACAAAATTTGGACCCCTAACAAAAAATATCTTTTATTCATGGCACGACACTCTTAATGTATATAGTTTGTTTTTAATTTAGGCTGTGTTAGAGAGACTTGGGAAAGTTTCGATAATATTGATACCGTCTTTACACCCTAAACCCCCTAAACATGCAAAATAAATTTGAGTTGCCATTATGTCGAAACCTTAATTTAGTTTTTAAAGTAACCCCTGAGTAGTTTATAATAGCAGTCAACATCATCTTAAGCACACACTAAGTAAGAAACCGATGCAATATAGTGTATGATCTCTGGTTTAAAATGAGAAGTTAAGAGAAAATAATGAATGATAAGATATGTTGCCACTAAGTTAGGTGGTCCCCACTAGAACACTTAGCCCAACGGTACAGGCTCTTTAAGTTAAATTGATGCTTAAGCATATTTGCCAAGAAAAAGAGAAAAACGAAATATGATGAGATCATAGTCACAAACAGGTTTACTTACCATGTACGTGTGAGGATAAAGGGCTTAATATGA